TAATACCACTACTACCACATCACAGCATAAGGTCTTCTCTGAACATTTGAAAGTTCCTAATATGTATTGACTACCTAAATAACACACAAATTACCCGTCAAATATCGTATATACATCCCGCCATCGGGTTTTGACATTTCAACTTTGGGTATGCATGGTGCAGGTGGTTCCTTTCGTACGATTCAGACACAAAGGGTTTTTACAGTGTTGTTTCGATTTTGTTTACCCTTGTATTTATATACTTAATTTTTGCTTAGGGAGCTACCATTTGATTTTTATGTGGGGCTAGGATGAAACATTTTGTCCTGCTTTTATTTTTAGTTGTAATCTCTGTCCTGCCTTTTTATTTTTTACTCTATTCGTTCCTGCCTTTTTTTTTTACTAGTTTATCCTGATTTTTTTTACACACAAATTGTCATCCTGCCTTTTTTTTTACCAAGTTGCTCATCCTGCCTTTTTTTTTACTCAAAACTCCTGTCCTGCCTATTTATTCAAATTTCAACCTAGCCTCCCCCCCCCCCCCATAAAAATCAAATGGTAGCTCCCTTATCGAGAATGTGTATATACTATACCAGTATACGGTATGTAATATCAACGACAAAATCTTTTTGTTGACCTCTTTGTCGAATTTGAAATTTACTATCTACTTCACCTTTTTTGTTGGCGCCTTTGTTATATTAATTTGTATGTTTGTTTGAATTTTTTAGTCAGTTTTGTTGTATGGCTGTGATGTATGTTTACACAGTTATGGCTGCCGGATCCAAATTATTATCACATTTAATTATTACGTCTGTTTGGGTTCCTCACCCAATATTGTCAATATAAAGGAATACAACTGTCATACAAGTGGGAGGTTTTGCTAGCTATAAAACTAAGTGTAACCCACCATTTTCTTGGAAAATTCCTATACCAAGTCAGGAATATAGCAGTTGTGTTTCACATGTTCCGTTGATTGATAGCGTTTGATTTTGTCAGTTCCCTTTTTTGAATTTGTCTTGGAGTTCGGTATTTTTTGTTTAACTTTTTTATCTCGGCTTAAAGTAAGTGTTCAACAACTTATCTATCCGTCCTTTTAACTATTTCGGTGACTACAATAAATAGCTTATTGTAAAATTATTATAGAATTTTGTAATAAATTATATGAAGATAATGAAATTATTTATTCGTGGATTGTAAAAACTTGCTTTGAACGTGTCTATAGCAATCCAGATCGTGATTTGAGCTATAAAAGGACTCGGCATTGTGAAATAAGTCAAAGAGACAACAACTGAGTTTTAAAAATTAAATGTAATGCTAACTTGGATTCTATAATAAAAACAATATATAATCTTGCACTGAAAAACTTGTAAAAAGACCTTGGCTGAATGTGTAAGATCTGAACTCTCTTTCTGTGCGTATAGCATGTATCGTTATATCATTCGAGACCACCCATCATAACGATCACAACTGTCGTCGATTTTATAAAATATCGGAAAATTAACATATTAATCCTTCTAAAAGAGCTGAATTACAATTAATTCTCATATTTTAAATCAAAACGTGTTTTTTACTTTAGCCATTATTTGCGTTTGTTCTTAGTAATTTAATATGTCTAACAGCTTTGACGGAATATACCATCCAAATAATCGCATAATCAATATGTATAATATTTTAAGATTTATTAAACTTTCCTAAACCTGTTGATTGTTCATAAATATAATTGTGGAAAATATGAGTAGAATCATTTCTGAAATATTTAGAATGGAAAAAGTAACTTTATCCTTAAGATAATTTGACTGAGTATTGGACAATAGCTTAAATATACAATGCTCTCGCACGGGCTGGATTTATTATGAGAATGCAAACCCGAAAATAATGGTTCATTCGCTCATGACAGAGCTCTTGGGTTATTCTTCTCCGAGCTATTACCCACCACCAAGACAGAAAAGTTAAAGTGACCTTGAATTGAATACCGATATTTGTTATAATAATGTAGAAAATAAGTAAATATTTTTATCAACTAATATTACCTTTGATGCAAGCTTGTCAGTTTATAACTTTAAAAATATTTTTATTGCTTTAAGTGTTGAAATATTATTTTATTCGTTAAAGAGGTTTAACTCATCAAGTATTTCGGTACTTTTACATCATTGGCTTTCAAATATTTGGCTTTGAGCGTTCCTGATGAAGGTAAATCCAGAGAAGCGCTTCGGACACATAACACTTATAAAGTTTAAATTTAATTTTCGTAAGAGTAGATGTCCTTACTTAAAGAGGGAAATGAAATGAAATTATTTTGATCTGTGACTTAAACCTAAAGAGCCCTTAAAAGTTAGGGCTTAAATCGGGGACGTGACTTCAGCTGGTGCAATCTACAAAAATCGTCCAAAACAAACTGATTTACTTTTAGAAACATGACATCATATACGTGTATTAGGCAAAAAAAAAAAACCCCCAAAAAAACACACACAACATCTGTGGTTCACTTGAATCAGTAGTTTAACTCATGTCTTTATGTCAAGACTGAAGTTAAAAGAACACAATTGTTAATTGATACTGGATCACTTGTCTGTGTTATATATTCATAACGTTTGCTTTGGACGGAGGTTAGAGTGAACTTCAAAAATCCGATTCCAGCTTTGTATACAACCGATGGCGCTCAGTTAGTAGTAAATGGTCAAGTAACAGTTCAAGTTAAACTTGGCTCTGAAACGTTTGAACACAATGCTATATGTGTTGCAAATAGGTATACTAAGCATGGACTATATGGCAAACATGATGTTCAGATAGATTCAAATAGGGAAAATGGTTTTATAAATAAAAGATTAGAATGTCTAAATAAAAAAAGGGTAAATCAATATGTTTGTTAGGGGCAAAATTTCAGATGACGCCACCATTCCTGCAAAACAAATATTGTTAATTGACAGCCACACTGATGGCAGACAAGTAGATTTGGAATCCGATGTTGGTTTAACTATTTCTCAACATATTGATACTCATACAGTATTAGAGGACTTGACACGTCTTCTAAATAGCGCACAGGATAATTTTACTGATTCTAAACGCGATAAAGTAAAAAGATCATACTAGAATAGAAATATATCTTTCGAGGTTCAGTTTAACCATTAAGCCAAATAAATATGGCTATGCGTTCGATTGAAACGGAAAACCGCCCTTTAAGGAAGGTACCATCAAGGAGATTATCGTTAGCTCAAAAAGAAATAGTTTATAAAGAACTTGAGAAAATGCATAAAGATGAAGTCTTACCATCCAGCACTAATAGGTACTCAGCGACAATATTTTTGGTCTTGCAAAAAAAGATAAAACCGAGCACTTCTGTGCAGATTTTGGGAAAATTAATGTGTGTTCATTGAAAGACGCATACCCTATCCCAAATGCACACATGGTCCTGGTTTGACACATACGGTCAATTAAATTGTGATTAAAAAAATTATCAACTGAGATAAAAAAAACTTCATGTAGAACGTTTCCCCGTGCGTGAGGTGTATGCTCTTATTATATTTACAGTTATGGTGTGCTTGTTCATGTGAGCATTTCTGATATTAATACACCGTCAAAATTTCATGTTTGGCTATTTAATATTTTCTTAGTTTCTTCAAAATCTTCTGGTCATTTGTTTTGTATATTGCCCTTTCATACTTTTTTAAACTGCTAGGTTTTCTTACATATATTTCGATGTGCCCCGTGCTGTCTATCATTTGTTGTTTAGTTTTATATGTATTGTCTATCATTTGTTGTTTCGAAATTATTGGTCTTTTGTTGGGCAATGTATGACAAATATATGTTAAAAAACCTCGCCCGTAATTATAAATTGTGTAATTCATTGACCGCTCCCCACATGTGTAACTTCAAAGCATATTTTAGCGGCAATCAATGTCTTTCAACATTACTGCACTTTTCTTGTATCATTGGTGCTTTCGACTGGAGAACCGTCGTACACAAGCATCGCACAAGTTGGCACTCCGAGGCGGGTGGGGAGCAAGAAGGTGAACTATGGTTTATTTTTATCAATAGTACCGCTTAAGTCGACGCTAGGGGCCGTCTTGAACTTGTTGTAGAGTATGAATGATTCGTTCATTGTTGAAGACCCTACATCAACTGTCAAGATAACGAACAGGAATAAAAGCCCGGTTCATTGATAATTTTCTATGTTTTCTTTGTATTGTGTGCGATTTTGTCCCATGTACATTCACTCCATATCCTTTTATTTTCTATTTTTCTATTCAAGGTAAATTAAAAAAAAAAGTCAATTCAGCTCTACGTTTCGCTTTAAGTAATAGAAGATGGATAACTCTTGTAGTCAAAGTATAACATATTTCAATTGAATAACTTCCCTTTGGCCAACTGTTAAAATTTTTTTCTTAATGATTTCTTCAATGTTTTCATTACTGTTTTTAACATATTAAATCACCAATCGTTTGGTATAATTACTCCTATGGCGTGAATATTTGAAACGGTTCTTTTACCTACTGGTGTTAATTAATGTTTTCATTCTTGCAGTAATAAAATTTTGAAAGAAATATTGGATATAGAATGGTCAATTTAAACAAGGAGATGAACGATAATAAATTATACTTATAAATATTTGCCCTTAGTTTTCTTTTGTGCTATCTGAAGGTGCAACGACATCAACATATATTGAAATTAAGTATTTTCAAAAATGTTAAAAGCAATGCATAGAAGTGAAAGTGAACTCCTTCAAAAATATTACATCATCTTTTTCATAAAGAGTTAAATAAGCATCTACCTCAGCAATTGTAAACATTAATTTCGAAGTCGTAAATGATTCAATATGAAGTTTTTTTTGTCTTGATGGCTCCAAACTGTTGTTTAGGCAACAACACTAATGCTCAAATTTCATAATGTGAATTTTTTCTTTTCACATCAACAGCAAATAACAACAATAAATATATACGGCTATGGAAAATCTATTTACTTGAAGTTAATGATAATGCTAGCATCTTTTCATTCTTCTCATAAGCCCTGCAGGATGTCTGCCTCGTCCGAATAAAAAATAGTCGATGGGAATCGAAGCGCTGTCTGTTCTCTATGTTTCACCAAAGGTTATAATTTTGTTGTCAATCATAAACACAAAATATCCCGGATTTTTCTTATTTACAACACAGTATGTTTGTTTGGGGGACACGATTTTTCAAAAGAAAGTATGGAAAATCAGTGTGACCTGTCAAAGTACAAAAATGTATGTTTTGTAGTATGGTGGTGTTTTTGTGTTGTTGTTTGATTGACGTATACTCAAATAACCTGTTATTCACAGTGTCTGGTAGTTAAGGAAATTCCAACTATATACATTATCCTGAAGTGAAAGTCAAAATACTTTTCTTTCCGAAATATTGTCAGTGGCTTTAAGATGATATTCAAGGTTATGATCACATTTTTTTTTTATTATTTCCGATCTCACTTCACTGTTTAAATATTAATTATGATATAATACATGATTTATACTACAGATTGAAAAAATATACAAACAAAAAAATAACATGTTTTAGTATACAGCCCAAGTTAACTAAAGTTTAGGTAAAAGTTTTCGTAAATTGATATTTTGAAGTAATACCTCAAATTATTTACACAAAAAAAAAATCTAGTTTTAAAACGACAGATAAAATCATCCTCCTTTTACAACATCAATAGCGTAAAAGACATGGCCACATATAAAACAAATAACATAAAATATCAGCGAAATCCGGTCATAATATTTAGCGACCATTTGCCAAGTAACTTTTGATTCCTCTCCGTCAATTGGTGGATTGTCTATTGTCGTTTCACTTTGAACTGTCTGCACATGTATCTGGTTTTTATTAATGCGTCGACGGTAGAGTTTAAAGTGTTTAATTTTTTTCATCCAGTTTGGTACATCATAATATTCTGACTTGTAATAAATCCATCCGCTTACAATAACAGACACAGTTATCATACCACTCATTACCATATTCAAGATTAACACGATGCAAATGCCGGAAAGTCTTGGTTGCGCAGTTGCTGGAAGAAGTCCTTGTGCAATGGTTAAAAATACAACAATTGAAAGCAGCAGAGTGATTGCAAATCCAACACGTTCTCCAGAGTCTTGTGGCAAAAGAAATACTGTTATATTAAGGAGTGCTAATAGAATTACTGGAAATATTAAATTAATGATCAAATATAAAGGACGACGCTGAAAATGCATTAGAAATTTTGTATTTGGAGGCAGACCATCCTCTGATGCAACGGAAGTAAATGTCAGCTTCCATTCACTGTTCTCAACATATTGTAATGTATTTATATATGAATTGGTTGATGTGAAAGAAATATCACCCATATTGTATCCCCATGATATTACCTCCAGTGTACATTTCTGTGTGTCGAAAGGAAAATATGTCGTATCTATATTACATGAAAATTCCAACTGGTGTCCTGGCTGCCACGTCACTGTTCCACTGTTGTGTATTATAACATATAAGTCTTTTATGCCAAACAAGCTGAATTCCTTAGCGGTATTGGCATTAATAAGTGATGGTTTCCAGACTTGATCTGCCGGTAACACAACAGACTCTGTGTTGTTGTATCTGCTTGGCGTCCATTTCATGTTGATGTCTTCCCACTGTAAAGTGAAATACACAGATATTGTAACGGTTCCATCAACAGCATTTATTTCATTTAGATTTAGTATATCCATTGATATGTTGAGGTGTGCTGCTTTCGAATAGTCCGCTTGAGGTCGCAAATATTTATTGTATCCAGTCGTCAATGTCTGATAAAGAGAGCTGATGTCTGAATATGTCGATGCATTTATTTGAAGAGCTTGTAGTACTGAAAATACTAACAGCCAAGCAATGCCCATTATATCTGTAAAAGGTAAAAATACAGATATTCAGATCTTCAAAGTTGAAATGTTACAATCCTGGTTGTTTTGTTATACGATATGTTTGTAATAACGAGTTTATTCTATTAAAATGAATAAGACTATGAAAACAACTTTTTATGACTCTCAATTTAATCGTTCCTATTAAATGACCTAAACTAATGATGGAATTATCAATACAATACTTTATACAAATATTTTGTAATCATTTTTAATAAACTTATGATTAACGATTAAGTTTACTACAGGAAATTCATTTGAGAATTAGAGGTAGAGGGATTAATAAGGGGGTTTTAAAAATTTGGTGCGTCCGAAGCACTTTACTGGATTGCCTTCAACAGGAACGTTCAAATCCAAAAAATTGTAACAAAGGATGTATTACAATAAAATTAGAATACTGGAGGAGTTCTATGACAAAAAGGACACAAAAAGAATAGCCAAATCCTACGAAGTCAAATTTGCCGACGGAGTATGAACATTAATTTAGGAAAAATTTAAAAAGGTATCAACGGAGAATTTAAGGACAATCTTATTCAGTATTCCTTCTGTTATATGAATAAAAAATATCCTATATAATTCATAGGTTAACTCTTTTAATACAACACACATTTATGCAGTATTATAACTGTAAGATAAATTGAAACCTATGAATGTTTTGCTCGAATGATTGTATAGCATATGCTTGTACTGTTAACAACTCATTTTTGCAAGCGATTTATTCAATCGACATTCATTAGTGAAAAATAGATAGACTACTATTATAAATCTTAGCGAATATGTAAACTTGGATCTTAAAAATCGCCACGAAGATGACCAGAAAGCGCAAGCGCTTAGCGCTAAAAATGTATGCGAAAAAAAGTTGGTTACCAAGTTTTGAGGTGTTATCATGTTCCATTGTACCATTAAATAAGGTCAGTTAGTACATTTATTGTAATTAAGTAATGTTATTAAATAATATGAACAAATCATCCCTAATACGAGTAAATCGGCTAGTGCAATACTGATGACTTCGCCCTGTTGATATAAATCATGAGATAATATTGCTTTCCGGACCGGTCTAACACGAGATATTCATTTCCGGTTTCAATTATTGTTACGCCTTTCCTAATTTAGGACGTATCTTTATGCATAAGATACATTTTTATCATAATTTGAAACATAAAATAGCTTTTAAAAAGTTTAAATCATGTTCCATGTTTTGTAATGATTTTAAACGGAAATATTGATTTTGTTCTGATTATTATTTCTTCTTCTTCTGCCACATTTTTTTGTTGCGGTGTTTAGTGGTTTTGTAAGATGTCGCTTAGATTTGTTGCATATGATATCGAACAGATATTGCGCTTTTGAAACTGACCCTGTTCAACCGAACATTTTTTATTGTAAGAGTTATCTCCCCAAACACTGTTTTTTTCTTGTGTGCGCATCTCCTTTGCAACCGTAAAAGATTACGACAAAACTATTGCTTGTTATATCCTCAGGATCTTAAGAATAATTTTGACAGAAGCGTTCCGGAGACCATAAGTTATAGGTCCTTGGTCCACCAAAATGAAAATGAGGTCGAGGTCATAGGTCATGGTCAGGTTCTAAATTTTGATTTTGGCTTATTATTGCTTCTTTTCAGAAACCGAATAAGATATCGACAAAATATTTTTACTAAACTGTTACATGTCGTAACATATATTTATTCTTATTAAAAGGGTGCGTTGACATTTAATGGGAGTTTCCTCCCCTCTAATACTTAAAATTAGCTGTATTGGGATAGAACTCATTTCCCATATAAAAAGTGGAGACTTAGGGTCATTTGATTTGAGGTCCTTGGTTTATGACCTTTAAATGGTGTCTTCCTCCTATTCCCACTTTTTAAAAATCACTATTCCTTCTATTCCCACATTCAAATAACAATAGATGTTTTGATAAATAATTTGTTTTTATAATAATCAAGGTCAATTAAAAGTTCACTTAAGATTTACCTGTATTTTTTTAAAAGAAAACAATAAAAAAATAATAATTTAATACACTTTTTATTTGTAATACTTAAAAATAAAGAATAAGTCAGATAAATAGAAGTAAGATTAAATAATCATTGAATTTGTAAATTTAAAAAATTGTCATCCGTACAAATAAATTGATGATAGATAATTTTATAACAAACTTTCCCATCTTGCAAGATTTCCATGTAGAACAAACGCACTTGAACCTAATACTTTTACCAAAAACTGTTGACGAAATCAACATAGATGGTATTTGGGCACGTACTACCAAAGGTGACCCATTCCTGCTAACAGACGACAACACAGTTGGGCGTATGTTAATCTTCAGTACTCAAAATAATCTAACACACTTAGCAGCTGCAAATATCATATATGGTGATGGTACATTTTACTCCTGTCCGAGTCTATTCTTCCAACTTTACACATTTCACGCAATAGTTGACGGCGCAATGTATCCACTGGTACACAGTTTACTTCCAGTCAAGAGCGAACTTGTATACACAAGGTTCCTGACTTTACTCAAAGATGTATGGCACTAACACCAACTACAACTTCAGCCTACCATTATCTTCCTGGACTATGAAGTCGCCATCCGAAATGCAGCATATTCTGTATTTCCTAGCATCAACGCAAAAGTTTTTTTTTCCACTAAACACAATGCATCTGGAGAAAAGCACAAGAAACAGGGGTTCAGGTTCCATACAAGAAAGACAACAACATTCATCAACTAGTACGCCGTACCGCTGTTCTTTCACATGTACCTTCTGCTGAGGTCGAAGATGTGTGGTTTAATGCCCTAGCCGACACAGATCAGATTGATACTAACATCAACTACACGTCCTTTACAGACTATGTAACAACATACTGGGTCGAACAGAACAGTCACCTTTGGGACCATTACACAGCACAGGGACCGAGGACTACACATCTAGAGGGATGGCACAGCACGCTGAAGAAACATGTCCAGGACCCACATTCAAACATCTTTAAACTCATATACAAATCTAATGAAACATGAAGCTTTCAACGCCCTGACCATGATCAGAATGCAGCCGGTGGGAAGAGAGTGGCCCAAAAACGAAAATATGTCGAAATCAACAACAGATTAGAAGTGCTAAAGGTTAGATACCACAACCAGGAAGTCATAGCAGTACAGTTTGGTGATGCAGCCTCCCACCTTCTTCACGTTGAATCAATAGATTATTAAACTTTAATAGACTTACATACAGTGAATTTCTAATGTGTGTGCTACAATGTATGATTTTGAATTTGTGTTATAAAAGAAAAAAAAATAATTTACTTATATCTGTTTCCATTTCTTTCATATTTATTTTAATTAAAAACAGAATTCATACACACACAAAAATAACCTATTACCTATAAAAAAAACACTTGTCAATTAAAAGTTGATTATACTGTGGCAGTTAGGATTATTATGTCATTGTTATTTCCCTTGTTTAAAACTATAAATTTCATATTTCTTTATTTAATAATTTACATGAAGCTTATTCAGTACATATTTGTTAAATTGAATAGATATTGATATTATGAATTCATTAGTTAAAGATATTTATTTATATTCTAAAGTTTAGTATTTGCATCGTCGCAAAACATTTATTACCTTCTTCGGAACACTTATATATTTTATATAATTGATATGAAATTCTTCTGTTGAATGGCTTGAGTATGGCGCGGAATCAGGGTCATAAATATCGATTTTAGTATATCCTAAAATGATTTTAGAATATCCTAAAATGATTATAGTATATACTAAATTACATTTTAGCATACCCTTAATTGATTTTAGCATATACTTAAATGATTTTAGTATATACTAAAATCATTTTTGGGTATCCTAAAGTCAATTCAGTATATACTAAAATGATTTTAGTATATACTAAAATCATTTTAGGATACCCTAAAATCAATTTAGCATATACTGAAATATTCAGCTTATACAGAAATATTGGCGCGGAATCAAGGTCATAAATATTGATTTTAGTATATACTAAAATGATTTTAGTGTATCCTATATCCAATTAAGGGTCTTCAGCTTAGCCAATGAGAGTTGTCGTTACATGAATGAAAATGCTGACAACATTCAGTGCGGCACTTATAATTAAAATAATTGTAAAAATGTATGTTCGCGAACTTTATATCTTTTTGTTTATTTTATGCTGTTTTAAAAGTAACTAACTATTATATACGTTAACGTTTCCTTTTAAAAGAAGCAAAACAAAAATATATTGTTTATTGTCAATGTTGATTGAATGTCTTTTTTTTTTTGGTAGATTCTAAATTTGAGTGTAAACAGGTTATTTCTTTTTTTTTTATTGTGATTCAATTTTTTTTAAAACGGTAATGGTTTGGTTTTTTTTGCTGTACGTGATCTGTCTCTTTGATAAAATTACGACGTCGCATTAACTTTCATTTAGATTTAGATGTACAAAGGTACATTGCCGGCTCATCTGCATGTTCGACGAAATAATTGTCCATTAGATTGACAAAAATTCTGTCCGCAGTGAAAGAGGGTCTTCAGAAATACTGTGAAACTGTTTACTCGCGTAGTGGTATTAACCATATGTGAATTCTAAAAAACTCTAAGGAACTTCTGGATAATTTTAAATTTCGATCTTTTTCTGAAATAAGTTCTATCAAAACTTTTGATTTTCAGCCCTGTATACCACCATTCCCCATGTCAAATTGAAAAATCGTCTAAAAAAAATAATCCACAATGCTTTTCAACATAAAAATGGTAGCATGCGCTATAAATTTATTACTTTGGGATACCATACGGCATATTTTGTTAATAGTGAACAAAAAAGTAAAACATGCTTTTATATAGATTAGACCGCTGGTTTTCCCGTTTGAATGGTTTTACACTAGTAATTTTTGGGGCCCTTTATAGCTTGTTGTTCGGTGTGAGCCAAGGCTCCGTGTTGAAGGCCGTACCTTGACCTATAATGGTTTACTTTTATAAACTGT